CTTTAGTGGCTCCTGTTTCTATTTATGTTTGACACCACTGAAGTAATAGATAGTTGAGCCTCAGTTTCTTTTTACGTAAAATACAGTTATACTTGCCCTACCTCCTAAACAAAGTTGCTGTGATTATTAAATGCAGTAGCATAATTATAATCATTGGCAAAATTTGAAGTACAATATAAATGTAAGCTGTTGTTCCAATTTCTCATCATTTAAGGCTCACTTTAAATCCCACCTTCTCCATGGATCTTCTTTCCAATCTTCCAGTCCACATTATTTCTTTTCTCTAAACTTGTATTGTAGTTGAGTCAGTAATGTATAATTAGTCACTTTAACTTTCTCCTCTTATACTGAGTATGTTAGTTCCTCCCAACTGATTCTAGTAAGCTCCTTGAAGACAAAAACACATCTTATGCTTCTTCTCCCCTCTCCCAAAGTTTACAGTCCTGGACATAAAGTAATTGCACAATAAATGTCTGCTGATTGAGTCTCAAACATGGACTGTGGTATGCTGATAGTAAAACTGCGATCATAATTATGAGCCTATTCGGCAGTGCAGGGGTGTCCCCAAAGTCCTTAATGGAGTTTTAAGTTAGTAAAGTTTAAATAACCAAAAAACTTTAGTCAAAGACCAAGATCATATACAAGGTGTCCCAGAAGTCTTAATACAGTTTTAAGCTGTTAAAGCTTAAACTAATAATGTAGTTTTAAGCTACTAAAGCTTAAACTATTAAAGCTTAAAACTGCATTAAGACACTTGGCCACTTTAGCCAAAATAGGAATCAAGCTAATTATGACTGGTGGGTCAAATTAGTGAAATCAAATGTGTATCTAGACGCAATACTGTCATCTTTTGAATTTATTTTCTGAAATATTGTAAACAAGAACACAATAAAAAAAATTCCAATGAAATAGTTTCCCCCACCCCAAAATAAAACTCTGAATACACACCAAATCCCTTTTAAAGTGATCTCTTGTAGTCTTGTCAGATACAAGTAAACTCAGCTTTGTCCTTCACCCAGACCAGGTTTCAAATAAAAGATTGAACTTGAATTAATTTAATGTGGAATGTTCTTCTTAACTGAAAAATATAACACAAGACCCTACAGAAACCTCAGGTCTAAATTGCAGGTTCTTTATTTGAAAAAAGGACTATACTAATGTTTGCAAAGAGAGAGGACTAGAACAGAGCTGAACAATTAACTCATTCAGAAGAATAAAGCCTAGAAAATGTTTACTTTTGAGAAATGACAACAAGAAAATCTGTCATATTATACATCATTTTATACATGCATTTATTGAATCTACCCCTGGTTTTTGACATGATTTTATTCTTCCCCTTATCATCCCACTCTATATTCCAACTTGACTTGTATATTTTTTTGTCTCTTTCCTTTTTAATTTAATGGAATATGTCCTTCTTACAGTCTATACAAATGTGACTTAGTTTTGATCTTTTTTGGAGATGTCGTGCCCTTTTCCTCAAAGGATAATCTCTTTGATATTGAATATTATTGTCATTATTATTATAGTTACTCATAGAAAAGTAAATTTATTTTCTTTTGAAATGGGATTTTTAAACATCAGAGTTTTATTTTGTGTGTTCTCTCTGAGAAAACTTGATTATGGGACATCTGCATAAAATATATAGAGTTCTACTGTTCTAGCTACTTTATTTTATAGCCTGAAGCCAAGGCACTAAAAAGATTGTTTCATGTTGAATGAATTTTGCTCTCAAATTAGAGGTCATTTTAGGAATGATCTGGCTTACTTTTTAAAATGGCCAGGTTCTTTATGGCCTAGTGATGGTCACATGAATCTTAAGTTGGTTTTTAAGGAGAAAGTTACCAATTAAGGACATTGAGTTACTAGACTTTGGCAATATTTTCCCAAAATGCCATTAATTGAAGCCATTATTTTGGAAAATATTGCTCATTTAAGAGTTGTTTGTTTCAGCACTTGGAGTCATTGCCAGTGTTGGCTTTCTTCCAGCTTGAGTAATCCTCTGAGACTTGAAAAAGATGAAAATGTTTTCCTTATGGAAGAATTGGTTTTTGTATCATTAATTAGTTTGTTATCTAGGGATTCTTTCTTCCCTTTTCCCTCTCCGCTGCCAAAACCAACTCTTGTTCATTCAAATTCTCACAATGAAAGAAGGTGAATTTTTACTTTTTCTACTATGATGGATGTTATATTGAAATTCCTAGCTAAAAGTTACACAGATATATTTAATCTTCCGTATTTAAACAGACTGCTTTCAGAAACTTTCAAAGTTTTGTCCAGTGTTTCAGGTTAAGAAGAACTGATATGCGTGATCAACTAAACAAAAGAACCGAAGTTTTTTGTCTTCTAATCTAAAGTTACCTTCTGGAATAAGGGCTCATGCAACATTTCCACCAAAGTAAATCTAAGAATTTTTCTTATTTGAAGTAGGAGTAGAGGAAGGGAGAGGCTATCTTTAGTTATCAAGACATGTTCTCATTAACACTGCTTTTTACTTGTCTGTTTTCTTAATTCCCTTTTTTCCCCATGGACACTTCAATTTCTCTGGTCCTAAATTAAGTAGGATTTTTTGTTTTATTTTCTTAGTGTCAAGTTTACTTAGATTCTCTGCTTTTCTCCTATACTTTTCAGTGATTTGTTGTATTGGAAGTCTGAAGTCCATTTGAAGCTTTCATTTTAAAAACATGCTTTTTAGCAATGTTTGGGGGGTGGGGTGCACTCTCTTTCATTACTTTTATCTAAGCTCTTTAGTCTAGCCAAAATAGATGAAGCACAGATGTAAGCAATGTTGCTGGGTCCAACAAGGCCTTCTCTATGCATGTTGCTTATTTTTCTTTCTATTCCTCACTTTTCTCATTTGTGGTATTAAAGATCTTGCCATTCAAGGTAATGTTGTAAGACCACTACTCAGAGCTTGGACTGCCAAGACAAGTTGCTTTTTTATGTATGGAGAGCTGTTAGCACATTCCCATTGTTTGCTCAGGAGAGTCTTTTTGACATTCAGAAATCATTTGTAAGTATGATTAAATCTAAATTTGATCCAGAAAAGGGAAAAGATACATTTTGCTTCTTCTTTGATCCAGAAAAAGACAAAAATACATTTCATTTCTCCAATAAAAAACTCTTCTTCCACATTAGTGTTATACAGTTATTATATCCAGGTCATTTACAGCAAAGCATTACTGATTGAAACCCTCATTTATTTCCACTAACTAGATAAAAAAAAATCACCATGGATTAAGAACCCTATTTCTGACTTCTAAGTCAAAGTCACATTTTAGTAAAAAGATCCTAAGCTGCATTATAATCAGAGTTAAGTGCTATAACTTTGGCTTTTCATTCATTAAAAAAAGCATTTGCATTAAATACCTGAAGAAGTTTCTAGTAGGAGATAGCACTTGATTTTAGCCTTGAAGAAAGCCAAAGATTCTAAGATATAGAAGTGAGTAGGGAATGCATTCCAGGCATAGGTGACAGCCTGGACAAAGACTGAGAGATGAGAGATGGGATGTCAAGTTATGAGACCAGCAAGAAAGCCACTTAGGCTGATATGTAGAGCGTGTGAAGGGGAATAGTAAGAAATGTCTGGTAAGATAGACTGGATCCACAATATGAAATGCTGAGGAATTTATATTTCATACTAAGGACAATAGGAAGTCTCTTTCTGAAAAAAAAATTAATGAGAGTGACAGTGAGACCTGCACTTTAAGATTATTTTGGTAGCTATGTGACATATAGATTGGAAAAGGAGAGAGGTTCAAACTGTGAGACTAGTTCAGAGGCTATTGGAATAGTCTGGACAAGAAATGATGAAAAGTTGAATTAAGATAAAACCTGGGCAAATGTGAAGAAATGTGAAAAAATATTCAAGGCATTTCATGGAGGTCAAATCAACAAGACTTGGTAATTGATAGGGAATATCTTGTTTGGGAGAGAGAAAGGTAAGAGATAACTCCAAGGGTGTGATCCTGAGTTACTGGAAGTGTGGTGGTGCTCAATATAAAGAGAAGTTTAAGTGCAGGCAGGTTTGAGAAAGGGAGATAATGATTTCAGTATTAGACATCTTGATTTTGAGATGCTTGTGGCCTAGTGGGTAGAGATAGCCAACAAGTAGGATTGTAGCTTAGGAGAGAGATGACTTGAATTGGATCTGTTATCAATCGGAACATTCCTTCTAGTGACTCATTTGAAACCTGTGCTTGTCTGCCCATCTTGTCTAAGTCTTGTCCATGACTCCCATAAATTCATGACACTCAACATGATGAAGGGCTTCCTTGCCTTTTCTCAATATCTCAGGAATACCAGTGGAACACTCTGGCTGTCTACTGTACCTATCTACTTGGGCATATCACCAGGCCATCTTCTCTTCTTATCATACATTTCCTTGATTATGTCTTTACTTCTTATTATTCTTCAAAGTTCTTATTTCATTATGTTACAGTCTCCTCACTCCTAAAATGCAACTCTCCACTTCTCTCTGTGTAATATTGACTTTCATTGTTTTCAAAATTATTGAGTTTCATAGCTAATAGCCATACAACAACTCTGGTGAAATGTTACCTTCAGGAAAATGCAAAGCTCCTTTAACGATCCCAAACTTCTCCTAGAAACAGAAGCCCGTATCTTTAATACCAACAGGAGAAAGATTAGCCCTAGATATATAGATTTGGGAGTCATATAGAAAGAGATAATTGAACCTGGCAGACCTGTTGAAATCACCAAGAGAGAGGTATATAAAGGGAAATGAAAAGAGTTTAGGAAAGAGCTTTGGAGACACCTATGGTGTCTCCATCTAAAGACATTCTTGCCCTTTATCTGATCATGTCTATAATCAATCACAGGGAAGATTCTTTCCTCAGCTACTTAGGCCTCTTGCTTTAGAAATTATTGACCCAATATTAGTTTGTAATATTTTACCAAAGAACGAATTGGGGAGGTGGAGGAGAGAGACATTAATATACAAACCAACTCACCTATGGCTTTGCATTTTTGTGTTCCAGGTTGAAAACTGGTGTCCTCATTTACCTTGGAGAGCAAAAAATCCCTATGAAGAACCAGATCAGAATTCAATGGTGAGAAAGTTTGAAAACCAATTTACCAGTCTTATGTCTTTAGAGCAGATTCATTTTCACTGTAATTAACTCTTTCTAGAACTTTGGTGTCAAACTAAAATAGAACTGGTGGCCACTAAACCATATATACCGCATATTAACATTACCAGTGTTCTATTGTATTTTTATTAATTTTGTTAAATATTTCCTGTTTACATTTAAATCTGGTTCTGGCCCATTCAGGAGTCATTAGGACTACATGCTTAACACCTCTGTTCTAGATGCTTCTTGCTATAAGATAAAACACCATCAAAGGAACAGCTTTCTTTGCCAATCTTATGGAAATTAGGGATCTATTCAGGGATGATGGGTGGCCTGGACAAATTAACCAGTATTTATTGAATACCTATTGTGTGTCCTGTATTATTATAGTTGCTATGTACATGATGGCATATGAAATTAATAGGAAATAAGACTCGACCTCAAAGAGTTTATAATCCTATTGAAAACACAATACAAAACCATAGAACTCTTTGAACAACATCACTCATCAGTCATTTGTCAAGTGCTTATTATGTGTGAGATACTGTGCGAGGCACCAGAGATGCAAAGACTAAAACAAGAAATATTTCCTGCCTACTGTGATGTGGGGGTGGGGATTAAGGGGAAGGAAATATCATGTACGCATGTAAGCAAAGACGAGACAATTTGAGGAGGGAGACAGAGCACAGTGCCAGGAGGGATTTAGAAGTGCTTCCTGTAGATGATTATCTCATCCAACCTCTGAGCACAACCTTAAGGAAACCAAAGGTACAGGAAGGCTGGAGTGGGGCAGTGGGACAGCTGGATTTCTGGCTAATTGAGAGAACAGGGTTATCACAATGAAATGGTTTTAGTTAATAGCTTAGGCCTAGAAATAAAATGTCTCCATTCTTTACCTATGATGCCTTCTGAATAATTCCCTAAAATGGACTAGAAAAAAAGTTTCTTGGAATAGCTCAATTTAATTTCACCAACTTTGGAAGGAATAGTGACAAAGTATTGTTTTAAAAGAAAGTAAGGTATTTGGGGGTTTTCCACCCTTTATTTACATTGTCCCATCAAAATCAGGGGTTCTTTGCTTTTGTTAGGTTAAAACTTAACTTTTGGTTGTCTGGTGAACTCCATGGACCCTTTCTCAGAATAATGTTGTTGTTTTTTTTTAATAATTAATTAATTTGTTTTTAGTTTTCAATATTCATTTCCATAAGATTTTGAGTTTTAAACTTTCTCCCCTCCTCCTCTCCCTGAGATGTTGTGCAATCTGATATAGGCTCTATTTGTACATTCATATTAAGCACATTTTCACATTAGTAATGACGTATAGAAAAATCATAACTAATGGGAGGAACCATAAGAAAGAAGAAATAAAAGAAAAAGAGAAAAGGAGAGCAAATAGTATACTTCCATCTGCATTCAGACTCCATAGTTCTTTCTCTGGATGTGGATAGCATTTTCCTCATGAGTCTCTTGGAATTGTCTTAGATCCTTGCATTGCTGAGAAGATCTAAGTCTATCAAAGTCAGTCATCACACAATGTGGCTGTTACTTTGTACAATGTTCTCTGGTTCTGCTTGTTTCACTCAGCATCAGTTCATATAAGTCTTTCCAGGTTTTTCTGAAGTCTGCCTGCTCATCATTTCTTATAGCACAATAGTATTCCATTACATTAATGTACCACAACTTGTTCAGCCATTTTCCAACTGATGGCATCCCCTCAATTTTCAATTCTTTGCCAGAGAATAATGGTTAGTTTGTGTTCTTTTTTTGTTTGTTTGTTCTAGTTTTTGGTTTTTTTTTGGCTAGGCAGTGGGGTTAAGTGACTTGCCCAGGGTCACACAGCTAGTAAGTGTTATGTGTTTGGGGCTGGATTTGAACTCAGGTCCTCCTGACTCCAGGGCCAGTGCTCTATCCACTTTGCCACCTAGTTGCCTTGAGAATAATGTTTTTAAAAGCATTTAAAAAATACTTAAAATTGCTAAGGAAAGTAGCTATATTGAAATAATATGGTTAAAATATTTTTAAGAGTAAATTCACATGCCCCAGGGTTAGGAATCCCTTAAATTTTTAACTTTTTGTCTGAGGTCTTTGATGACTTAGGGTGCTTTCTTCAGGCCCTTTTCAAAGATCACTACATTCATCATAAAATATGGAACCCCATGATAGTCCTGGTACTCCATTAAGAATATCCAAGAGATGTTGTGCAGCATAGTGGATAGAATTAGCCTCAGAGGTTTAAAAAAAAAAAAAACTCCTGGGTTCAAGGCTTAGACACAAGCTGTGTTAGCCTGAGCAAGTCACTTAATCTTTCAACACTTGCTATGTGTGAGGGTACCAGTGCTACAAAGACTAAAACATGAAACATTTCTTGCCTCTTCTGAGGTAGGAGGGCAGTGGGCAGGGATTATAATATACAAATATCAGCAAATACAAATTATTGGAAATAAGGTAATTCTCTAAAACTCTAAACTATAAACTAGTTGCAGATGTTCATTGGTAGATGACGATTTCTCACCAGGAGTTCCCTACCTCAATGAAGTCATAGGTTCACTTCCTCCCCTGTCCTCCCCCCAAAATAAATAAATAAATAAATAAATAACCATACCAACATCAAGTGTCTTGTATTTAGAACTTACTTCTAGAAGAGTTGTCCTGGTTGGTCAGAGACAGAAGCAAAGCCTTCTGCTCCTTCTCATAACCTTTCCCTTTCATGCAATAGAACTGTATATGAATTCCCTAGAAACAGAAAGCAGGATAAATTGTGGAAATTTCCTCTGATCCTCAGGGTACTCAACTAGCCCATAAAAAGTGCTGTATAGATCCACTAGTTGTTTCTTTGTTTGTTTCTCCACAGATGTTTCATGTGCACTCGCAACCCATTTAGTTAAAATAAGGTTAAATAGAATTCATTTAATAAGAACTGATTGATATCTGATTTTCTCATGGTATGCCTTAGAAGGTCAATTTCCTTCACGTCAATTGACAATCCTGGGTCTTTAAAGTTAAGTTGTACAAAACAGGAGACTTTAAAAAAGAGAAGAGGAGACTTATCCAATATTAATTAAGCCTTTCAAGTTCAGAATGAAATGTCACCACATAAAAACCATCATGCTTCCGAATGTTTGGGGTTGTCCACCTACTCCCACCCTCCATTTCCCTTTTTTCTGTTAAACATCTATTCATAGGCTGAAATTCGTACGGATTTTAATCTACTCTATGGAATGATGAAACGGCATGAAGAATTCCGATGGATGATACTAAGGATCCGACGAATGGCTGGTGCATGGATTGAAGCAATTAAATCATTGGCAGAAAAGCAAAACCTTGAGAGGAGAAAAAGGAAAAAAGTGAGTTTCTTATTCATTTTGTTACAGTCACCAGTTTTCCTTTTAAGTTTGATTCTATTTTGAAATAGATCCAAGAAAGAAATGTGTGCTGTTGAAATGATATTCCCTCAGGGTGAATTTGCTATATCTTTTATACAGCTTATTTTTGTGTTCTTTTTCCCAAATTATGGTCCTCTCAAACATCAGGAATAAACAGCATTCTTGAAATTTAGCTGTATGCTTACTGACCATAGAGTCTTCCTGACTCTAAGTACACTATTCTGTCCACTATGTCATAAATCACTGTTATATCAAATCATTTAACTTTGATTTATTGTTCTTCCAATTTTCATTATTTTAGTTAGTATATGTGTTATTTTATTGGTTCTACTTCACTTTGCATCAGTTCACAAGTCTTCACATGCTTCTCTGTGTTCAACAAATTTATGGCTTCTTACAACATAGTAATATTCCATCATTTTCATGTGCCACAATTTGCTTAGTTGTTTCCCAGATTGGGCATCTACTTTGTTTCTAATTCATTGCTACTATAAAGGCACTGTTATGAATGCCTTATTTTTTTTAATTAATTTATTTTGGTTTATCAGCAATCACTTCCATAAGCTTTTGAGTTTTAAATTTTTCTTCCTCTCTTTCTCCACCTCTCTTCCAAAGACAGCACACAATCTAATATAGGATTTATATATATATATATATATATATATATACACATTCCTATTAAACATTTTCACATTAGTGATGTTGTAAGTAAGAATTAGAACCAATAGGAGCAACCACCAGAAAGAGGAAACAAAACTCAACAGAAGAGAAAAAAATAGCAAATAGTATGCTTCGATCTGCAATGAATGCCTTATTGTATAATCAAACCTTACTTTCTTTGTGTTCAATATATTTATTGTTTCTTGCAGCATAGTAATATTCCATCATTTTCATGCACCACAATTTGTTTAGTTATTTCCCAGATTGGACATTTACTTTGTTTCTAATTCTTTGCTACTATTAGAGCACTGCTATGTATGTTTTATTGTGTGATTGAACCTTGCTTTTTATCATTGCCCTTCTCATGGCATATGACTGTAAGTGGTATTGTTGGGTCAAAGATCACTAATATTTCACTCACTTAGAGTAATTCTAAATTGAGTACCAGAATGGATGGTCCAGTTTATAGCTCCACTGACAGTGTATTAGTATTTGTACCTATCTGTCCACAATCCTTCCAACATTGACTATTGCCATCTTTTCTCATCTTTGCCAATTTACTGGGTGTGAAATGAAACCATAGACTTGTTTTGACTTACACTTCTCTTTATTAAATGTGATTTCTCAATATCCTTTTAAAAAATGACTTGAGTTTTTAATGCTTCAGCTAGGGAAGTACTGATCTATATGCAAAGTGTAAAGTAGTAGTCCTTGATCATCCATCTCATATATTATTTTCTTCTTCTCTTCTTAGAAAATAAAGCCTCTAAATGTGAACACTGTTTTTGGCCACTTTATCAAGTACTGAGTTTTGTGGTGGAAGTGTCTTGAGTAATTGGGATGTTAATTCAACATGAGCCTATCTATGTGTCTTATTTTTCAGATTCTCGTTCACCTGGGACTCCTGACCAAGGAATCCGGCTTCAAGATTGCAGAGAATGCATTTAGTGGAGGCCCACTTGGTGAATTAGTTCAGTGGAGTGATTTAATTACATCTCTCTACTTACTGGGCCATGACATTAGGATTTCAGCTTCACTGGCTGAGCTCAAGGAGTAAGGAGATTACTTTTCAATTTTGAAGCTGGAATACAAAAAAAAGAAATTGTAAACTCTTGAAGCTTCTATTAGTGTGTAATTTCTTGCAGAGAAAAATGAAAGTGATAATTCACTAAACAGGAGATAAGAAGATTATTTTCAGGAGCTAAATACATACACTGTGAAAAGGATGATATGTTTTCATTGTAGCTGCAGGCTCTGGAGGCCTCATAAATGAACACAAGAAAATTCAAACTAAGGAGCTTATTCATTGCTATTACAGGTGCTTCATACATCTGCTGCACAATGCATTCTTGACTTTACTAATTCCGTGTCTAGCTGAAATTCATACCCTTCCACACTCAGCATCAAGCTTTTTTATATCTTAAATCAAGGCAAGTTCCTGTTTATAATTTAATTTAGGAAGAGCAAATTTCCTGAAAACCTGGACTTTTTAAGTCAGCAGACTTTCAGCTCCAAGTCTGTCAACTTCTGTGTTCCTATTTAACTGACATTTGCTTCTCCTTCCATCCCTCTCCTTTTTCCCTTCCCTTTCCCTGTCTCTCGGGCTCTTAATCCATTTAGATTGACACAGCTGGCTAAGCATTCTCAAAGACACATCCGTCAGTTCTTTCCACTCACACACTGGATGAACTGCCTTTAGAGAGGCTGACCCAAGCTGCCGCGTTATTACTGTGTGGAATAAGGGGAAAAAATTCCCAATGGATTTGAATTTAATTTATACATGAAATTGCAAGGAAAGGAACATTTTAGAAAGCAGTATGGAAAGCTTCTTGTTACTTTTTTTTAATTAAGAACAGATGAGGAAGAGAAAAATGACATTTGCTAAAGTACCAGGTGATATAGGACCACATGTGTATAACTAGCACCTAGCTTCATGCTAACCACAGCAATACTGTCAATGAATACTTCTTGACAAGTGCAATAATGGTGATTATGATTTTAAGAAATTATTTATATAGGACATTGGAGTTTATTAAACACTTCCACCAATACAACAAGGGTAGGTATAGCCGGTGTTAGACCCATTTTATAGAAAGAGCAAAGTTCTGAGGTTAAATTGATAGTCTAAGAATACCATTATTAAGACTTAAACCCAGATCTTCTGACTCCTAATTCTAGGGAACTTTCTACTACACGACTAGCGTCTAAGTGCCATGGTCAAGAGAGAGACAAAGAGAGAAAGAGATGCTGGGAGATATCAGGGAAGGCTTTAAGGAAGAAGTTATCTGAGATATTTGATTAGAAAAGTCACCAGAGTATCCATGTATATATAATATAATGTAAATGGTCTGTTGTGTGTTTTTCCTCTCTCCCTAGGATAATGAAGAGGGTTGTAGGTAATAGATCTGGCTGCCCAACTGTAGGCGATAGGATTGTGGAACTCATTTATATTGATATCGTGGGACTTGCTCAATTTAAGAAAACTCTTGGCCCTTCCTGGGTTCATTACCAGTAAGTGTTTTGTTTTTGCTTGAAGCCTTATGCCTATTTTTTAACAATGACATTTAAGTGTTGTTTGTTTTTGTATGGAGTGAGAAGATAAAAGAAAATCCTTTGATTTGGGCTGATTATCCCTAATTGAAAGCCAAATTGTTCACAGCTACTTTCCACCTTCAACATCCATTCATTATTTTCATTGATCTGCAAAGAAGAGGAATCTTGTTTCAGGCATTCTCTCTAACTTCCCATTTTCACATCCCTCTTTTCTCCCTATACCTGCTTCAGCTCTGATAAAATAAAGGTTCAGTGAGACAGACTTTGGGAAGGAGCTTGTATGTCCTATTTCTTTAATGTGTAAAATGTTCTTGCATTTCTACTCTCTTGGATATCTGTCCTCAAACTAATAAGAAATACTTAGAATGAAAGCTGAGTTTTACATTTTAAAAAATAAATAAGCCTGGTATTTGGAAAATAAAACAAAGATCATTTGTTAAGCCCATACTATATGCCAGGCAAGCAGCTAGGTGACACAGTAGATAGAGTTCAGGACAGAGTCAGGAAAACTCATCTTCCTGAGTTCAAATCTGGCCTCAGACACTTACTAGCTGTGTGACCCTGAGTAAGTCACTTAACCTTGTTTGTCTTAGCTTACTCATCTGTAAAATGAACTGTAGAGGGAAATGGCAAACCACTCCAGTATCTTTGTCAAGAAAACCCCAAATGGAGTCACAAAGAGTCAGACATGACTGAAACAACTGAACAACATATGCCAGACATTGTGCTAAGAGTTAGGGGTGCAAATGTAAGTGAGTATGAGTCATGCTATGTCCTCTTCCTCTCCCCCAGAGAATTATTAAGTACCCAGTGTGAGTTTAGAGCTGTGCTTAGAGCTTTATTGATAAGACAGTACCTGGCCTCAAGGAGCTTACATTCTATAATGCAAGAAGAAAGGGGAGGGAGAAAGGGGAAGAAAATTAGCACCAAGTGCTGTGGCATGTTTTGGAAACAACTGAGAAGAGCCATGAAAGCCAATTGCTGGGATAAATGAGGCATTTATTTAGTGCTTCCTATGTGCCAGGCATTATACTCAGTGCTGAGGATACAAAAACTTCAAGAAGGTTCCATTCCAATAAGGGAAGACAACACATGTACAAGAACTGGAGTTGGAAAGAAGGCTATGGCAGCATGTCTTGGAGATGGCTGGCAAGTGATACAGTGGGCCTGTGGCCAAGCAAGAGAAGGTGAAAGTTCACTAGTCAGAACCTTGGGGTCCAGGAGAGAGTTCTGAGGGGCGGAGGAAAAGGCTGGAATGAAGGCAGCATGGTTCTGAGATTCCTAGGAAATGACAGTTGCTTGGACAGGATATTATGTTCTTTTTTTATCTCCTTTTCTTTGTACTTTCAGCAATTATGGGCCTGCTGTTTCACTTCCCTTTTCCAATGCAGATTTCCCCTGTTAATTTCCCCCTCCCTTTATGAATCATGAATTTGTCTGTCAGAATTACTTTTGATTTGAAAACAGCAGTGTCTTCTTTGTAGTTGTGTGTGTGTGTGTGTATACATATAATGAGTATAATGTCCAATGTAGCAATATATATTGTAGGCAAAATATCTTGCATATAATTAGATGTAAACACATGATATTTTTAAGTTAAAATGTTGGGGATTTGGGGTTTTGTTTTGTTTTTTGTTCATTAGATGACTTGGGTTTCTCCTCTCTTCCTTCCCTCACCTTTACCTGCCTACACCAGGCAAATGTCTGATAAATGGTAGATAGAAATTCCTATCTGAATATTTAATGCTTATAATACAACTATTATTAACTGGTGCCATTATGCAAAACCATAACAAAACAAAACAAAAACCTCAGTAGTGAAATTTGTGCATCAATTAAAAAGAGCAGTTGTATGATTGAAACGGTCACTTATTTGGTGTTTTATTCTAGTTGGGTTAAAAAAAAAACTTATTCAGAAGAGTCTTTTCAAACACCATGTCAACTTATCCATTGCTCCTTGCCTAAATGCCGTCTCTAGTAGTGATATTAAACGGCAGTCTACCTCTCTTAGTGTCTCTGCCACAGGAGCTTTGTTCCATGGCAAGACTGAAAATCTAGGAAGTTTGGTAGCAGTTCTGAGAGCCTCACTATGATAGGTAAATGGACAATCCAGTAAATCATATTGAATTTTAACTTAGAATGGTTCATTTATAGTTAGGAGTAAACACTTGAACACTGTTGAACTTGGACTTAAAATGATGTTTATAAATAGCCTCTTTTCTAAGTTGCCTATGATTCCTGGGATGTTTCACTTCAGAATCTACCTAAAGAAGGTTATTTGGAGAAAGTGGGAGACTTGGGTCCCAGTGTTAAATAGTTCATTGGCATTTTTTTAAAGCAGTAAATTAGAGATGAGAAATAGGTAGAGAAGTGTAATGCATGGTCACCCAATGATACTAGAGACAAGAAACAGTGAAAGGTGTTTCAGAATTGTCTGGCTTTGATATATGAGTCCCTCATTGGTAGAAGGCCACTTGCTCCTGGCATCTCAGGGCAGAATATCTTTTTTAATCATCAGTGATATGCCAGGCATGCAGCATCAAGGTGAAGACATAAACATTAATACCTTAAATATAGTTCTAAAATATAGTAAGTTTAGAAATTTCCTGAGAAAGAGACCTTTACCTGTGAATCTCTTCTATTTCCTCTGTTGCCATCAGTCTATCTGACAACTACTTTAAAAGACAAACCTCAGAAACAAAAATAAAGCTCCCAGCCTTGGAGCAAAATGACCCTCAATATTTTAAAGTCCCCAGTTTTGAGCCATTGTATGGAACATTTGCATCATTTTTTTGTAACTCTTAGTTGTTCCTGGTATGCTAGTCACTGCATATAATGGTCATTACAAAATCTCTTGTAAAGTGGGGCTCGGGAAAGACCTCACAGAGCAGATGGGACTTGAACTAAGCTTTCAAAGGAGGTAGGGATTCTAAGAGGTGGAGATAAGGAAAGAGTGCATTCTAGGCATGAGGAGACAGCCTGTAGAAAGGCTGAGATGAGGGATAATGGGTTTGGGGAGTAGCAGGTGGGCCAATTTGCCTAGAACAGTGCATGTGAGAAAGCAGTAATTTTAATGTTGGAGCCAGATTTTGAAGGGCTTTAAATGCCAAATAGAAAAATATAATTTACTCTAGGTGGATTAAGTTGCTGCTAAAGCTTTTTCAGTCCAAGAATGACATAGGACATAGTTTGAACTACACTTTAGAAATACCAGCTGTGAGGAAAATGAATTGGGAGGGGGGAAGAGACTGGAGACAGGGAGGTCAATTAGGAGGCTTTTACAATATTTCAGGTGAGAAGTGATATGGTTTTTCTTTTCTTTTTTAGGTGAATAATACATACTTTTAAGTATTTCTTCTAATGTTTGTATAAATGTTGATAGAACAAGGTTTCTTAACCTGGAATCCATGAACTTGTTTTTTGGGGGGTTTTTTGGGGTTTTTTAGGGTTTTTTGGCTAGGCCATGGGGTTAAGTGACTTGCCCAAGGTCACACAGCTAGTAAGTGTTACGTGTCTGAGGCTGGATTTGAACTCAGGTCCTCCTGAATCCAGGGCCGGTGCTCTATCCACTGTGCCACTTAGCTGCCCCTGAACTTGTTTTTAAAAAGAAATTTCTGGTAACTGTATTTCAATACAATCTGTATTGTGCCCAGAGGGTCCCTGACACAGAAAAGGTAAAGATTCCCTGCTTTAAATCATCATCAAGTGGAGAAACATGGCGGAAGCGGAACCTTTCATGGTCCATGCCTTTACTTATCTTTTCATTCACTACATAGAAATTCCTATGCTGTTTATTACAAAGGAGGAACTCATTCACTATTTGCATTTACCTGAGGAATGAGAATAGCTACTGTGTATGGGCATGAAAGAACCTCATCCCAGAAAATGCCCACAGCAGCTTCCAAAATGCCCCCAACAAAGGGACTGTTTTTCAGTATTTAAAGGATATGGAAAATAAAAAAATATGTTGGAGACCTAAAGCTCCATATTTCCCTGTCTCCTGGACCTTTGGTTCCCATTTACCTCTGTAATATCCCCTGGATTCCCACTGGAGTGTTCTGGGGTATGCTGAGAAAATTGATGCTTTGAAAATGTTTTCAGTGAAAATCAGTGGTAACATACAGAGAATAACAACCATTGATTTGCAGTGGTCCCTGTGGTTGACTTGTGTTCCAGTGTGGTCCTGTGTTGTGGTGGTGGTTGTTGTTGTGGTTGCTGTTGTTGTTGTTTTCTCTCCTATATTTATTGCTTTAGGAAGACTACATGTATTTTCCGATAGAGAAGTCATCATATTAAAGTGACACTATGCCTTTTTCCTCTTCAAAAAATTCTCATTTATGTGTTTGATTTTTTTCCCTTTGATTTTGTTCCCTGAAGTACAAAACATGTTTCAAATTTGACCTCATGAGTAGTGGGCATCCATATTTCTGGAAAAGGTGGAAGGTAGCTGTGCCAGCTCTTTAAAATCATTCTCTTCATCAAGCCTTAAGATAGAGGGCTTGGTCTTGATTTATTTACTTTAAAGCATGCTGGCTCAGTGAGTTTCAGAATTTTTGATTTATGCATGAGTCAAGGAAAAGATACTATTTTCAAAGAGCAGCCATTGATAATGAGACAAACTTAACATTATCAACTTTGAAAAATAAACAATTATTATTTGCTTTGTTATTAATTCCTACATTCTGTGTGTGTGTGTGTGTGTGTGTGTGTGTGTGTGTGTGTCCAAAAAGTGTTTATAGGATACTTGGCACACATTTTTTTCCTCTTTTTTTTTCCTTGCTCTTGGGCTACATGTTATCACTTTATTCCAATAGAATACTTAAAAATCATTATCTTGTAGTTTAAGCAAAATTCAAAGCCTTATCTAGAATCACATCCATAGCTTTTAAACCCTCCAGAATACATAAGGTTATTTTGTGGCAAAGCAGAAGTAAGCTTGACCATTTTCATGTCTCTTTGACCCGGCACACACACACACACACACACACACACACACACACACCTTGCAAGTTATGATTTATTATGTATTTATTGAAGAATTAGCACTTAAAGTATGAGGCAAGCAAGCATTTGAAAGATAAGCTACAATTCATGTGAGAAAGCTGAAGCAAATAGTGTTTGTTATATGCCTACATGGTAGATTAATATTGACATATGAATTTGATGTACAAAGGAGGCACTGTGATGCCAAGGAGAGGATAGGAGACTTGAGATCTCATCTCAGTTGTACAATTCATTGTTAGACTTGGAACAAATAACTTAATTTTTCTACACCTTGGTTTGTACAACTGTAAAAAGAGGTTTGGACTAAATAAGCTGTCATTTCTAGCTCTAAAATTGATTCTCTGAAAGCAACTCAAGGGGACAACAGCCTTTAGCTTTTAGATTTTTTTTTTGTAAGAAAAGCACTTCAGTGTTTAAGGTGCAACTATAAGAATAAATTAGTCTTTTGCTTTTAGGGTTTTTCAGATAAAGATTTCAGTTCTGAGAAAACATGGATTTTTCTTTCAGGTGCATGCTTCGAGTACTGGATTCATTTGGTACTGAACCAGAATTTAATCATGCTAATTACGCCCAGTCTAAAGGTCATAAGACTCCATGGGGAAAATGGAACCTTAATCCTCAACAATTTTATACAATGTTCCGTGAGTATTCATTCTTTCTTTTGCTTTCCAAAAGTCTTCCTAAAGTGGCTGTGTTTCCTTTTCCCTTCCTTCATGAGCAGATCCAGATGAGTGAATGACTGTGGGAAGGTGGAGTGATTTTTTGTAGCTTGCTTTGAAGATTTATAAACAAATTTGGCCCAGGTGCTCTTCGAAGATACACCTTACATGCCCCTCAGTGGTCATGGTAACATAACAAGGGAAACAGCATAATACAGTGGGAAAAACATTTGTTTTGGTACCAGAAGATCCTGGCTTCCAATCCTAGATCTGCTATTTGTGTCCTTGAGCCTCATTTTCCTTATCTGTAAAATATGAGTGAGGGAGTAAAATAGAGGTACCAAACACACTGTCCACAGGCCATATGCAGCCCACAACTCTTTCCATTTCAGCCCAAACCAGATTAAAATGTAATTGAGAAATATTTAACAAAATAAACAAAAAAGTCATTGATAATGTTAACATGTCATTTTCTAAGTCAACATATCTCCCATGGGAATTCTTATGTATGTTTTAGTGACCCCATTTCTATTTCTGGTTTGACACCATTGGAATAAATAGCCTTTAAGTTCCCTATGAACCCAGCTCCTAACCCCTAGTCAGACGAAAGTTCCAGAATTCTCTTATTTTCTTCTCTTCTCTTTTCTCTTTCTTTTCCCTTTTTTCTCCTCTTTTAACATCTTTTCTCCTCTCTTTTCACTTCTATTGTCGTTTGACAGAAGACAAAATGAGGAAATGTATTTCTTTGTCTAGCACAGGAAATATGAAAATACTTTTACTGGCTATATTCTTGAGGGGGAAAAAGTTTAGTTTGCCCAATGTCAAAATTCTCCTTTGAACCCTCTGCAAAATTTTGTAGAACAGCAAAACAGGAACTCTTTTAAAAGAGAAATTGACACCTTTCCTTCCTTTCATTTTGATATATTCTCTTTCCTTCTCACTTGATTTTAAAATAAACCTTTTTTTTAAAAAAAAATCCTCCTTTGAAATACTGTTGGCAGACATTTAATGAACAGGCATTCCTAAGCACCTGCTATATGCAGTCACTCTGCTAGGCACTGAGCATACAAGTATAAAGAATGAAACAATGCAATAAGCTTATATTCTAATGGGAAAAAAGTATGTATAAAAATATGTACAGTATAAATATGAATTGACTACTAATATATGCATACATATATACTATTATGTGTCTGTATGCATATATATATATTTTAATACTTAATATGGAAGATGATACATGAACTGCATATTAAAGGGAGAAAGGGACTCTGAGATGGAGGTAAAGGAAGAGTATATTACAGGCATAAGGAATGGCTAGTACAAAGCCACAGAGACCAGAAATGAACTGCCATACATGAGGAAAAGAGAAAAGGTCAATTTGGCTGGAGTGCAAAGTGAGAGGGCAGTAGTAATGCCCAATGAGACAGTAAAAATAGGTTGGATCCAGGTTATAAAGGGGTTTAAAAGCTAAATTGAGTTTATATTAGATGTTAACAGCAATGTGGAGCCATTGGAGTTGATTGAGTAGGGGACTTTTACTGTAGTAAAACCACTTTGGCAACAATGTGCCGGATGAACTACAGTGGGGAAAAATTTAAGGCAGGAAGAGCAGTTAGAAAGCCTTTGAAATAGTTTAACTGCAAGGATAAGACAGTTTGATTTGTGGCTATCTGATGAGTAGAAGCAAAGTGGGGAAGCATTTATATTATGGCTATTATAGAACATTTATTTCATCCCTACTATGTGCCAAACACATAAGTGCTTTCCAACTATAATCTCATTTGCAAGGTAGATACTGTTATCCCCATTTTTCAATTGAGGAAACTGAGACAAACAGAAATTAAGTGACTTACCCAGAGTCTAGTAAGTGTGCAGAACCAAATTTGATCTCAGGACTTTCTAACTCCTGATCTCTATCCACTATGCCACCAGAGTAGAGAGGATGGAGCTGTTGTGAGAGATGTATGGAGGTAGAAATGACAAGATTTGGCAGTAGACCTGATATATGAGGTGAGTGAAAAAGAAGAATCAGTTGAGTCAATGCAGAGGTTATGAACCCATGAGGTTGGATGTTTAAATGGTGCCTTTGACAAAAAAAAAGGGGGGAAGTTTGAAAGGCTTGTGGGTTTCAGTACAGAAGGAGATGAGTTCTGTTTTAGAGAGGTTTAGTTTTCTCTAGAACATTCAGTTTGAAATGTCCCATGGGCTATTGGTGATGAGGGACTGAAGCAGGGGAGAAACTAAAACTAATAAATATTAGATCTGTGAGTCATCTGCATAGAGATGGTAAGTAAGCTCTTGAGAAAGAATGTAGAGAGAGAAGAACATAGAGCCCAGGAAAGAGCCTTGAATAATAACCCCAATCAAGGAGTGTGATATGGTTGATGAGGCAGTCAAGGGGACTGAGAAGGAATGGCTAATCAGATAGAGAAGCAGGAGACAGAAGTGTCATAGACTTCCTACAAGGAGAGATTATCTAGGGGGAGAAAGTAGTCGCCAGTGTAAAATGCAGCCTATCAAAATAGTCTGAGAAAAGGCCATCGGATCTGGCAATTAATTTAGAAAGAGCCATTTCAGTTAAGTTTTGAAGTTGGAATATAGAGTGCAAAGGATTGAGGAGTAAAAAGGAAGTAGAAATGAGTGTAGATGGATTTTTCTAGTTTAGCTGAGAAAGGGAAGAAAGATTTAGGAAGACAATGAGAGAGAGAGAATGAAAATGTTTAAGGCTACAATCTGTTGGACAGGCTGGATTCAAGGGTACATGGAAAGGGGTTGGTTTTGGCAAGGTCAAGGTCACCTCATTGTTAGAGACTTGGAGGAAAGGGGGATAGAGTGAGGGATATTATATTTTTTAAAAGTGCTTATCTGCTATTGACAGTCCTAGTTTCACTATTAGTCATGTGAAGTACTTGTGGATTTAGTTAAGGAGCCAAAACAAAAAAGTTTTTGAGCTTAGAAGTATTTGTCATGACTTTCTTCAGGAGTATTTATACCCCCAGTGAGATCATCTCCTTGAAGGGAAGAGGATGACCTATAAAACTTCTTAGGTTCTTGTGATATCTAAGTGTGTCGACATACTTACAGCTCTTCACTGCACCCTGCAGCTCTGGACAGACTAATTTAGACAAAGTAGAAAAGTACAACAATGACAGAATAGTATAAAAAAAGCCACCCGGGCATTTGGAAAGAGAGTCAGAGAGATGTCTCTCTGAAAATTATGCCTCCTTTGCTCCCTCAGACCTGGGGAAAAAGAGGTCCAGAGCAATGCATCCTGTATCCTGAGTCTTGAGGGTAGGGGCCCATGAACGCTAGTTTTCTCATTATAAAGTCAGAGAGTGTAATTAGTGAAGTGGCTCTTAGTTACCTGTGTTGCTGCAGGCTGTATCAGGATTCAGGTTGGTCACATATTCAATGTGAGATAGCTGGTGTTACTGTTTTAAAAAAAACAAAAACAAACCCTTAAAACAATGTCTAATGTGTGAAGACTAAAAATGAATCTGCAATGGTTGCCATTTGTCAGATTGTTCTGGATTGTGCCCAATTTTACTTTTGGGATTTGAAAAGTATAACTTTATGCTTTTTGTTTGTTTGGTTGATTGGGTTTTTTAATCAATGCATTTTATTTTGACACTGTAGACACAACCCAACACTGTGCTCAGTTTCAGCCATTGGATTTCTAAAAGAGTTTTTAAAAAATGGAGATGGTTCAGAGCAGAGGAACAAAAGTGATCAAAAGGATGAAAAGTAAATCTTACTTGGAAATGCAGAAGGAGTTGGGGTTGTTGATCTTTAAAAAAGAAGACAAATGGAAGAAAGCTTAAGGGTCTGGGAGCAGTGTGTGTGTGTGTGTGTGTGTGTGTGTGTGTGTGTGTGTGGCTTGTCCTTCATTCTCATAACTTGCAAGTGAATTGGATTTAAGTGAGAGAGGGCTGTGCAAAGTCACCAGCCTCACTTTCTCCTCTGGAGTCATCTGGGTCCAGTGGCCAGATATAGATCAGGATGACTGGAGATGGCCCAGGATGCAGTGGGAGACCTTGGCCTTTTTGGAAGACTTTGGAAAGTAATGATAATAATAATAATAGCTAGCATTTATTAAGCGCTTACTCTGTGCTAGGCATTATGCTAAGCACTTTACATATATCTCATTTGATCCCCACAACAATCCTGCAAGGCAGGTGATATTAATATCCCCATTTTGCATATAAGGATATTGTGTCAAATTGAGGTTAAATACTTGCCCAGGGTCCCTGTGAGAGGCCAGATTTAGCCAATAGGTGGCACAGTGGATAAAGCATTGGGCTTGGAGTCAGGAAGGCCTGAGTTCAAATCCAGCCTCAGATACCTACTAGCTGTGTGACCCTGAGCAATTTATTTAACCCTGTTGGCCTCAGTTTCCTCATCTGTAAAATGAGCTGGAGTAGGAAATGGTAAACCACTCCAGTATCTTTGCCAAGAAAACCCCAAAAGGAGTCACAGTGAGTCGACTGAACAACAACATTCCTGACTACAGGCTTGGCATTCTATCTATTCCACCACCTACTGTGAAATATCACTATTGGTGAGGTGTATTCATCTGGATTCCATAAAGCATCTAAATGTTCTAGATGCCATGTGGCTGTTATTACAATAATTCTTCTTTTATCATGCATCATCAGGTGTTCCACATAAGTAAATTTTCCAGATTACTATGTCTTACCTTCCAAATGTAATTTAATAGAATTCTTGATAAACTGTATTGCATAGTAGATAAAACTTAGAAGGTACCAAATGTAATTTGATAGCTCACAGTTATTGTGAATATCAGTTATTGCCCTCCACTGGCATCTCAATATCATCCATACAGGTACTCCCTTTAGTGATGCAGATGGCAATTCCTGCCCATTCTTTGGGACTTTAATCCTGATTCTCTCATAAATCGGGTCCAATCAAATGCCCAAAATACTGGTCCCTCTCTCCTTTTGTTCTCTTGATATCACAAT